CGTGGCTGGAATGTGGGATGCTAATGCTGTCGCCGTCGATGTTGGCATGGGTGATTGTTCTCCCCTCTCTCCAGCTAATGTTCGTCAGGATGTTCGTTTTTTTCCGAATGTAGTAACAGACCACATTTAGCTGCGTCGGTTGAACGTCACGAAGTAAGCAGGTGAGCTGTCCTAGGTTGGTGGCGTACAACAACACGTCGTTGGCGAAACGCAGATTCGCAATCCGCGCTCGCGCTGAAAAGCAAAGGTGGATCCCGAATATCTTTCGCAGCAAAACAAGTTTCACTTGTCTGAACACGTGCTCTAAGACGGCGTTGAAAAAGAAAGAGCTCAGCGGGTCTCCCTGTTTAGAGCCCCGTTCGATATTGAAGGCTCTGCTGTTGGTATCCGTCCGAACTGTACCAGTTTGGGTGCTATATAAGTGTTGCAGGAAAGTATAGGTGGCTGTCGTAGAGCGTCCCACATAGAATCGTGGTCAACACGGTCAAACGCGCTTTTGAAATCTATTGCGGCGGCCCAGAGCGGCAGCTGCCATTTTTAAGAGCTCTCATGAAGCATTGTTGCGGTGAACCAGTGGTCCTCTGCGCAGTAGTTATTGCGGAAATCTGCTTGGTCTTAGGTCTCAGCGTTGTTGCGAGTCGAACAAGACGCTGAGCCGGTTGCAAAAGAGGCGAGACATCAGCGCATACAGCAGAGGGACGACGGCAATTGGTTTGTAATTGCCCGATTGATCGGGGTCACCAGACTGGCGCATCACGGTGATGGCGGTACTCTTCCACTGGTCTGGCGGGGGGCGATCAGGCTTGATGATGTCGTTGCATAGTTGAAGTAGATGGCACTGTAAAGCGGTGCCTCCTGCTTTGAGCAATTCTGCCGCGAGCCCAGCGGTGTCGCTGCACCTGCCGTTCTTGAGTTGTTTGATTGCTTGGTGGAGCTCGCTTGCTGTGAAAGGCGGGATGGTCGAGTCGTCGCGCGTCTGCAGGCGGGCGTTGCCGGCGCTGGCTACGCGGAGCGGGTCCTTGTGCAGCTTCTCGTAAAAAGCCGCGAATACGTTTGCTGTGCTTTGTCTGTCTCGTCGATACATTCAGCTGTGGTCATTGATGGGATCATATTTTTGTGATTGCTGGTTCTTAACCCAGATATTTTCTTCAGTCCTTTGAATTGGCAGACAGCCCCCTCGAGTTCGGCATTCATCTCGGCACGCTTGATAGCCCTTGTCTGTCGAAAGAGTTGTTTGCTAAGAGATATTCGCGCAGTTGTGCCTCATGGTGCGGTTGCGCGTCTTTGTTGGATGAGTGCCTTGAGCCGTGTTGTCGGTCCGTCTTCGGCGTATCCTTGAAGGTCTCCAGCTGATTGCTCTCGGTGTTCCTGGTAACCCTTGCTTGCAAGCTTGAGCCCTTCACAAATGTCATGGCACCTACTGTCCAAGTCGGCGTCGTGGTTGTGGTCGCCCAGATGCTGTTGCATGCATTGCTGGAAAAATGGGTCGTCGGCTTGGGGGGTGGGATCGCGCGCCGCGGCGCGGTTGCTTCCGTTTCCTCTTTCTTTTCGTCGCGGCCTCAAGGCCCGTCTTGACGCGCACAGCTTGGTGATCGGCCCCGAGGGCTGGAACGTTGGAGGCGCACGAGTCGACCACTTGGTATCGTCGTGCCCTGTCTATGAAAATGTAATCAATGTGTGTCTGTGTCGGGTTTTTGCCACTGATTGTGTAGGTGAACAACTTGCTGTAGTGCTTGTAAAAGAATACGTTTGCAATAATCAGAATCCGTGGACTAGGCCACGCACGGAGCCATATCCCTCTTGGGTTGCACAAGCCCAAACCTAATTTGCCGACAGTATGTCTCCGGCTCATGTGATCTGCTCTTCCGTCGTCGTCGTCGCCCCCCTCATCATCATGTAGATTGGCAGGCTGTCTGCCCATTTGCGCATTGAAATCTCCAGCAACAATACATGTCTACTTGGATTGCGCAGCGTCGTCGTGAATCACTCCAAATGGTCGTACATATGCTGTATGAGTATATCCGCGTAGCCGGAGCGGGTGAAATATGCCGTCACGATCCTGATGGGCTGTGTGGGGGAGTTGATGTCGATGTAAGCGATTCGCTCATTGATGGCTTCGAAACGTTTGACTTGTTGGACGCGTCACCGATGAACGAGAAATGCAACTCCACGCGACGCGTCCGCATGCCCCGATGCTGCGAATAAGTGCTCCCCGCGTTTTGTGATCCACCTCTCACGAGATTCCGTTCTCCATGTCTCGTTGGTGGTAAGTACATCCCAACGTACGCCGTCAAATTCGTGCAACAGTGCATCGATCGAGCCATCAGTTGTGAGGCTTCGTGCATTTTTGTGTACGATGGTGGATAATTGGGTTGACGATGGATGCGGTGTTGGAGTACGCTGGTCGCGCTTACCACCGTCATCGCTCTCGCGTTGGCGGTTCCGGTGCGTGCTGACGGGGACGTCGCCGTCGACTGTTTCGTATTTGCATCGTCCGCCTCCAGTGCTTCTCAGGTTGGGCTGGAGTTGCTGCTCACTTGTGCTAGTGTTGCTGCTGTCCGGTAGTGAACCGTGGGGTCGGTCGATGGTGGCAGTGGCAGGTCGGAGATCGATGGGTGGAGGTGGTGGCGGTGTGAAGTCGGATAGTGGCGGCTGGAGGTCGGAGCGTTGGGTTGGTGGAGGCCGGTTGCCAGTAGGTTGAGGTGGAAGTGGGAGGTCGGATGCTGGAGGTTGGCGGCGGAGCAACTGAGATCGCGAAGGTGAGAAGTCGATAGGTGGAAATGGTAGTCGTGGGAGGTCGGATGCTGGAGGCTGGAGGTCGCGATGCTGGGCTGTCAGAAGTCGAAGGTCGAAAGGCGGAGACGGCGGCGGTTGGAGGTCGGATGCTGGAGGCTGAAAGTCGGGGCTAGGAAGTTGTGAGAGCTGAAGGTCCATATGTGGTGGAAGTCGGAAGTCGGGAACTGGGGGCTGGAGGTGGGGGCGTGGAGATGGTGAAGGTTGGAAATCGATGGGTGGAAATAATGGTGGTGAGAGGTCGGGTAGAATGGGGAAGTCGGGCGGGAGCTGGAGGTCTGAAGACTGAGATTGGAGGACGACTGGGGTAGGCTGGAGTCGGAAGCCCGCTGCCGCCGGTTGGAAATCTGAACGATCACCTGCCCGGTGTCGGTAGCCCTGTTCGTGTAGATGCAACGCCAGACCGGCGCAGATATGAAGGGAGGTCGTACCTGAGGTTGGAAGGGCATCTGCGCTTTGGCGTCGGAGTCCTGGTCGATGGCGTTGTCGCTGTATTCGCTGGCGGTTAAACGCAAGGACAAGAAATGCAGCAGCGTGGTTGGGACATGTACGACGGGTGGGGGCAAGATGAGGGAAGGGGTACATAGGTCGGAGGTCAGATGTTCAATATGACGTCGGAGTGAGGAGTTGGACTTGTAGAGACAATATCACCTGTCAATGTCGGAGCCCAGGTCGCTGGCGTGGTCGCTGCATCCCCTGAGGGTGAAGCGCAAAGGGTCGTAGTACAGAAGCGTGGTCGGTACCTGTCTGGGGCTGTACCTGTAGGCTTCCCGCAGTCGGAGGCTAGAGGTGGGAGGTCTGAAACAAGCCGATGTTGGACTAAAAGGATGCGGGTATATTTTCCCCATCCCCCTGTGATGTCGTCGTCAAAGTTGTGGTTCGTGTACTTGCTCTCGTCGATGATGTCGGCTCCGGTGCTGATATGGGCTTTCGGTTCAGATAGGTGGGGGTAGCGGTTGAAAGATGGAAATCGGATGTAGGATTGGAGGTCGGGATCTGGAGGTGGAGGTTGGGCGTCGGTAGTTGCGACCGTCGTAGTGTTCTCGGCGCCGATGTCGTTACCGATGTGGGTCGATGATGGCGTATACCTGTGTCGACATTGATCCGGCACTGGTCGAAGTAAAGAAAAGCGCGACTGGTCGCTAGCTTTGCCCGCTCCTTCTAAATCCCAAAAAATATGGCTCGCGACGGCTCCCGGGCCAGGAATCCTTCTCCTTCTGGGACACAACAGGGCCAGGCACTATCTGGAGCCGGTCGAGCGGAGAGGCGGCAGAGGCCGGGCATGGAGCGCGCCGGCGCTCGGGAGAACCACCTGCGCGGCCCGCGCCCTTCAAATTTGGCGAGGAGGCGAGTCGGGATGGCCACGGGGAAAACTAAGAGCCAAATTATGAATACGTCGGACCTCAACCTCTGCTCAGCACTCAATTGTGAAAACTACCAGCTCGCGACGGCACCCGGGCCAGGAATCCTTTCCCTTCTGGGACACAACAGGGCCAGGCACTATCTGGAGCCGATCGAGCGGAGAGGCGGCAGAGGCCTGGCATGGAGCGCGCCCGCGCTCGAGAGAACCACCTGCGTGGCCCGCACCCGATCCCGAAGGTAGAATTGGCCGCAGGCCGTACATACAACCACAAGATCATTTCATAGCAAGAGACACGAGGGCAAGACCAGGCTGCACGTGCATCGCAACAATGATGCATCGAGTGGCGGCCTGAGCGAGCGGGCGAGGGTACTCTGCGGCAACCGCGGTGCGCTTCCGCCCCTGCGCGTCGTTGCCCTCTAAAATCACATGATGATTGCCAGTTATGCTGCAAATGCCTCCCTTACCCATACACAGACGTTCCAGCGAGAGCGTGGAGCTGGCGCCTCAAGACATGATGGTGGTAGCTTTCTTATACGCTGCCCCGTACTGGCACTGGTGCAATGCTGATTTGTGGCAACAAGACCTGCGACGAAGACGAGCGAGCTGAGGATGCGACCAAATCTGCGAGGTCTGCGGATTCTCGAGAAAGACAGGAATGCGGGCGGCGATGCAAGCACGAAATTTTTGTGATAGTCACACGCACTGTGGCATTCCCGGCAGCCACTCGGGCCTGCTCTGCCTCTGAGAGGCCGGGTAGCCCAAGAGGATGGCTGTCAGACCTGAGCGGGCGCCGTACGGCGCGCGTCCAGCTGGCGCATGGGGTGCCCAGCGAGACAGCGCCTACGGCCCGAGATTGGATCCAGCCAACGACGGTGGCGACGAATGCTGGCAGCACGTGGTCCTCCAGCGGGCCGCGCTGCCAGTCAAGTCCGAAGGCAGCGAGACCGCAGGCGAGCACAGCCTTAGCAATCGCGCTGGCCCCGCAGAAGAGCTCTAGGACAGGGCGACGCCGCAGGGCGCGGCCAGGCGCTGCTGCGCGCCGGTACTGCCGCTGCAAGTGCCGCCTCACCGCGTCCGCCGGCGGGCCGCCGTCGTCGGGGCCAGCAGCGCCGCCGCCGGCGGCCTGAGGGCCGCTCGCCCTTCCGAGCGACCGCGCTGGGAGGTGGGCGCCGGCGCCCTGCGCAAGGCTGCGACGACGGCCGGGACGAGGCCAGTCGCCAGCCAGCCGGGCAGGCGGCCGCTGACCCGCGCCACGAGGCCGCTCTCGACAAAGGCCCTGAGATCCATGACCACTGGCGAGAACCACGAGATCCCGTCCAGGAGCTTGGTTTCCCTGGCGTAGCGGTTCAAGCTCTTGGTAGTCCGCCAGCGCCATCGCCACTGAGTCTCTGCCAGCAGACGCCTCTGGGAGCGCATGACGTTCGAGGCTTCCCGAAGGCGCAGGCTGCACAGGTGGGGGCGAAGGCGATCCAGCGACAGCCGCCGACCCGCGAGGCTGAGCAACGTGCCGAGACGACTCGCCTCCTGTCCCCACAGCGGCTCCGAAGGCGTAATGGGCAACTTCAGAGCCGGCTGTAGAGGGGTGAGCAAGGGCCCGCGGTCGAACAAGATGCTCTCGTCGCTCACGCCCGTCCTGCCTGGCTCCTGTCCGCCCTCGTGCAGGAGCAGCTCGAAGAACTGGTAGCCCGGGCCCGCCGCCTCGGACAGCGCGACGAGGTGGCGAGCGCAGAGCTTCGCCGCCTCCCCGCGCCTGAGGTACGAGGCGAACATGACGAGGATGCAGAGGGCCAGCAAGTGGGAACCGTCGTGGATCAGGAGGCCGGCCCAGGCGGACGCCACGCGGCGCGGCAGCAGCCATCGGGGCCACGCCCGCGCGCGCCGCGACCAGGCCGCTGCGGCTCGAGGAGCCTTCGCCAGCAGCACAAGGGCCCGCATGCGGAAGGACCTGAGGAAGAGCACCACCGCCGCCAAGGGAACGTTCCCCTGGTTGCCGGCGCTGCCGATGAGGAACTCGTTGTCCATGAACTCCACCAACGCCTGGTCCAGGCTCGCAGGGCTCGTCCAATCCAGGCGGCGCCCGAGAACCAGCCAGCGCGCCCACGGCTGTGCGCGTCTGCGGGGTTGGACTCGGAGGGAACCCACCGCACTGAGAGGGTTGAGCCAGTGGCCACGGAGAGGGCGCAGACCTTGCGAAGCGCGCTCTGCAGATGCCTGCTGCGGGCCCGGCCCTTGCCCACGGACAAGACCAACGGCAAGTTGTCGGACAGGTTTTGGAAGCGGGACCCGAACGCAGATGTGGACCGAAGAAGGTGCCGATACCCAAGCACGAGAGCTTCCCCCTCGAGGGCCAAGATGTTGGCCCTTCCGTCGACGTACACCGCGGCAACCGAGCCCCAGGCAGGACCCCGAACGAAGTGAGCAGGAACCTCATCGAAGTCCACGGCAGGTCGCATGCCCAGGATCGACTTGTCGGAATCCCCGAGAGGCCCTGGCGACTGCAGCTCCAACGGGCCCACGTGGGCCCCGCCCAGAACATCCGCGAACGACGAGTAGTCATCGATCCCATCACCACGTACACGAGCGTCATCCCCGAGATCAGCGACGACGTCCCCGAGCGGCACTGACGAAACGCCGAGGTCGAGCCCGACCGCCCTACTCCTTGCATGAGCGCCGCCCTCGACCTTGTACCTCCACTTTTCGGCGACTCCACCGATGGTGCCCACGAGGTCCTGCGGGGCGCGGCGAGCAACAACGCCCAGCCCAAATGGCGAGGCGCCCGTGCAAGCAACTCGCCCATGCCACGCGGCGCCGAGGGCAGCCGCGCACAGCGGCAGCAGGTCGTGAACAAGCTGGAGCTCGTGCCGGACGGTGGGCCAGAGCGGGGCAGCCGTCGACACGGCGGCCTCGATGCAAGCGTAGGTCGCACCCAGGATGCACAGCAGCTCCCTCCGCAGCAGCAGCAGCGCCCATGCGATGTGGCCCGTCAGCACGCGGAGGAGGAAGCCGATGATGACCTGCCTCCGGAGCGCAGCGCGGATGGCGGCGCGCAACCTTCAAATATTGCAGGTCCTGAGGCTGAGCCAGCGCCCCTCGCGCAACGACAGCCCAAAGAAGTCGCAGTCATGAGAGGGCGCCTCGAGCTCGTGCACAGCGAGCCCGCGGTGCGTCAAATCGTCCGCGATGGCCCGCAGCCGCTCGCCCACCGTCTTTGGGGAGCCGCCGAGAACAAAGTAGTTGTCCACGTGGCCAGCGCCCACGACAGAGTCAGGGTCGTCGGCGAGCTGGCAGCCGCAGTGGCCGTCGAGGATCAGGTCGCCCGGCGAGAAGCCAGCGCGACCCAAAGAAGTCTGAAGTACCTCCTGGCACAGGTGCAAAGCCCAGCTGACCCCATCGGCAGCACCACCACCTGAGGCAGCAAGACCGACTCACCGCTCACCCCCGCCACTGCGATTCCGCGAGGCGCGAGATACTTGGCGGAGATTGGCGGCAACATGAAATACTCCTCCATGCCGTCAGGGACCCGCATGTGGTAGAAGGCCACGTCGAGGTCCGCCGAAGCGATGGAGAACCGAACGTCGCCCGCCTCGAGCCGACCCCAGGCTGACGCCGACGGCAGCTGGGCGCGGGGCGCGTCGATGAACGCGCAGTTGGCCAGGCGCTTGTCGAAGATGACTCTGAGCTGACCACTCTTCTTGGGCGCGAAAAATATTCCCACGCTGCCCCGACGCCCTCGCGAAGGGGAAAAAGTGAGCACGCTGCGCTCCTCCATTGCTCTGATAAAAGCAGCGTAATCCAGCGGCGAGCGGAGCAGAGCAGGATCCGCGCAAGGGCCCTGCGGGCAGATCTCCGCCCGAAGCTGCCGCGCCTCCTCGGGCTCGCGAAGCACTTGGCACCTCCACTCCCGCAGCGCGGCGGAGTCTCGCTCGTCCAGCAGCCCAAGGAGCGGCGCGGGAGGCTGCGACACGTCCCGCCAGGAGACAAGGTCTGGCACGTAGGAAGTGGTAGGCCCGCCGCCGTCAGGGCACAGCGCGGACGGACCCGGCAAGGAGCTCCCGGAGGGCCCCGTTGGGGTCTGAGACGTCGTCACGGCACGCCTCCTGCTCAGGGCAGAGGGCGGCGATGGAGTCCCAGACGCGAGCGGCAGCGCAGCGCTGCCCGGCAGACGGCGTCGGCGCGGGCGAGGGCCGGTCGCCGTAGAGATAATTCAAGGCGTGCACGGCGGCGCCGGCACGACCGAGCGCGTGCGCGAAGGCGTGACAGGCTCGAACTCGCCGCCGAGTCCCCGACGACCCAGGCGCCACGTCCGCAGCAGCCAGCAGCGGCAGGGGGAAGAGGTCTCGATGTCGGTCCTCATCCGGCGGATGGCGCCCAGCGTCGCCATGGGAACGGGTCGCACTGGTGGCAGGACCCGCGATGGCCGAGTGGGGCAGGGGCGGCGGCTGGCCGGGCCATCCGCCCCGGGGCAGGTCAGGCATTGGCCCTGGCGGGGGTGGGCGAGCCGCCCCGGCCGCCGCGGCCGCCCCGTCGCCCCCTCCAGCGCCCTGTACCCGGCTGGCCTGGCACGCCGCCGGCGAGGGCGTGCTCCTTGCGCGCCTTCCTCCGCTCCTTCGCCGCCGCCATCTCCCGCTGCAGCTCCTCCTGCGCCTGCACCGAGCGAGCCACGAGCCCCGACTTCGTGACGTGCACCGGGTCGTAGGCAACGGCCGACTCAATGACCATGCACCCGATCTGGTAGATCTCCACGCCGTGGGACTCTGGGCCGAGCCCCATCTTGGCCGGCCACTGCTGGTGATGAGCAGTCGGAGTGACCGACCGCTGCGCCATATACTGCATCACCCTCGGCAGCGTGCGACGCCCGCGCGCTGGCCGCTCGGGCCCTGGGAACCCGACCGCCAGCACCACCATGCTGCGGAAGTCCGCGTGCAAGACACCTCTTGCATCCCACACGATGGCGAAGATGTGGGCGTCGCCGCCGGGGCTGGCGGGCGGCGGCCCCGCCCTCAGGCCCGCGGGCGCGGGCCCCTCAGCGAGGGGGCCAGCGGCGGGGACCGCGGCCGGCGCCAAGGGCAGCGCGGCGGGACCTGCAGGCGCCACGAGAGCACCCTCAGCCCCGGGGGCGGCAGGGGCGCTGGCGGCGGCAGCCGCGGCAGGGGCTGGCGCCGGCGTGGGCGCGCCTCCAGCGGCACCGCCGGCCTGACCCCCGAGCGCGGCCCCCAGGGCAACGCCAGGCAGCGCGGCTGGGGCAGCCGCCGCCGTCGCCGCGGGCGCGGCCGCTACGGCCACCCTGCCCGCAACGTTGGGCACCAGTCCCGCAGCCGCCGCCAGGCCCTGGCGGGAGCAGGCACGGCCAGCTGCGGCCGCCCGCGCGGCCGCCGTGGGGATGGCCCTGAATCGGTAGTACCACGCTGCCGGCGCCCATGGGAAAGCCCCGCCTGGTGATCCACCTGGCAGCTCGCCCCAGTGGCGCACGTCCGCCGTGCTGCGGAGCTGCTCGTCGTACGCGTCGCCATCCACCGTGATGATCGAGGCAGCGTCGGGGGCGGCGGGGTTCAAGGCCACGACGGTGTGCTCGTGGATGAGGGCCCTCCGCACGACGCTGCACTGCCACCCGACGAAGTACCCGACCGCCACGCCCGCCGCCGCGAGCGAGAGATGCGCCAGAGAACCAGGCGCCGCCATCACTGCAATGCGCGGGAGCGCTCACAAAGCGCCCTCACCTGCGCGCGGGCCACCTCGCTCCACTCGTCTGGCTCCAGCTGGACGGCGAACGAGCCCGCGTGATGGCCGCGGAGGCGGAGGACCTCCCAGCCGCCCGCAGCGCCGGCGAGGGCGCCAGCGAGGGCCGCACCCCCCACGCAGGTCACCAGCCTGGCGGTGGAAGGGCCCGCCTTGGCGTCAGCCCGCGGCCCCGAGCAGTCACAGCTCAGGTCGGGGCGCTGTAGGATGGGCTCGAAGGTGCACACTGGACGGACGGTTGAGTCGCCACGCGCTGCCCAAACGGCGATGCCTGCGCTGATGCTGCGCCCCCCCTCCGGCACCAGCGCGCTGCGGGCGGAGATCACGGACGCGGTGCGCTGGGGCCCCAAAAACTAAGAGCCAAATTATGAGTACGTCGGACCTCACCCTCTGCTCAGCACTCAGTTGTGAAAACTACCATATGTGATGTGGATGTCGCTGTAAATGTGGTCGTATCGGTGGCTTTGCCCGAAAGTCCCACACCCAAATGATCCATATGAGCAGTACTCTGCTGGGCGGCTCTGGCACTGGCGGTAACCCCCGTCGTAGTCATAGAAAGTCGAATGATAAGTAGGACTCTGGAGGTCGGAATGCTGGGCCGCCGGAGCCTGGAGGTCGATAGGTGGAGATGGTGGTGGCGGGAGGCCGAATGTTGGACGCTGGAGGTCGGAATGCTGGGCCGCCAGAGCCTGGAGGTCGATAGTTGGAGATGGTGGTGGTGGGAAATCGAATGTTGGACTCTGGAGGTCGGAATGCTGGGCCGCCGGAGCCTGGAGGTCGATAGGTGGAGATGGTGGTGGTGGGAGGTCGAATGTTGGACTCTGCAGGTCGGAATGCTGGGCCGCCGGAGCCTGGAGGTCTATAGGTGGAGATGGTGGTGGTGGGAGGTTGAATGTTGGAGGCTGGAGGTCGGAATGCTGGGCCGCCGGAGCCTAGAGGTCTATAGGTGGAGATGGTGGTGGTGGGAGGTCGAATGTTGGAGGCTGGAGGTCGGAATGCTGGGCCGCCGGAGCCTGGAGGTCGATAGGTGGAGATGGTGGTGGTGGGAGGTCGAAGTTGGACTCTAGAAGTCGGAATGCTGGGCCTGGAGGTCGATAGGTGGAGATGGTGGTGGTGGGAAGTCGAATGTTGGACTCTGGAGGTCGGAATGCTGGGCCGCCGGAGCCTGGAGGTCGATAGGTGGAGATGGTGGTGGTGGGAGGTCGAATGTTGGAGGCTGGAGGTCGGAATGCTGGGTCGCCGGAGCGTGGAGGTCGATAGGTGGAGATGGTGGTGGTGGGAGGTCGAATGTTGGACTCTGGAAGTCGGAATGCTGGGCCGCCGGAGCCTGGAGGTCGATAGGTGGAAATGGTGGTGGTGGGAGGTCGAATGTTGGACTCTGGAGGTCGGAATGCTGGGCCGTCGGAGCCTTTGGAGGTCTATAGGTGAGATGGTGTGGTGGGAGGTCGAAGGTTGGACTCTGGAGGTCGGAATGCTGGCCGCGGGGCATGGAGGCGATAGGTGGAGATGGTGGTGGTGGGAGGTCGAATGTTGGACTCTGGAGGTCGGGATGCTGGGCCGCCGGAGCCTGGAGGTCGATAGGTGAGAATGGTGGTGGTGGGAGGTCGAATGTTGGACTCTGGAGGTCGGAGTGCTGGGGCGTCGGAGCCTGGAGGTCGATAGGTGAGAATGGTGGTGGTGGGAGGTCGAATGTTGGACTCTGGAGGTCGGAATGCTGGGCCGCCGGAGCCTGGAGGTCGATACTTGGAAATGGTGGTGGTAGGAGGTCGAATGTTGGACTCTGGAGGTCGAAATGCTGGGCCGCCGGAGCCTGGAGGTCGATAGGTGAGAATGGTGGTGGTGGGAGGTCGAATGTTGGACTCTGGAGGTCGGGATGCTGGGCCTCCGGGGCCTGGAGGTCGATAGGTGAGAATGGTGGTGGTGGGAGGTCGAATGTTGGACTCTGGAGGTCGGGATGCTGGGCCGTCGGAGCCTGGAGGTCGATAGTTGGAGATGGTGGTGGTGGTGGTGGGAGGTCGAATGTTGGACTCTGGATGTCGGAATGCTGGGCCGTCGGAGCCTGGAGGTCGATAGGTGGAGATGGTGGTGGTGGGAGGTCGGATGTTGGACTCTGGATGTCGGGATGCTGGGCCGTCGGAGCCTGGAGGTCGATAGGTGAAGATGGTGGTGGTGGGATGTCGAATGATGGACGCTGGAGGTCGGAATGCTGGGCCGTCGGAGCCTGGAGGTCGATAGGTGGAGATGGCAGTGGCGGGAGGTCGACTATTTGAGGCTGGATGTCAGAATGCTGGGCCGCTGGAGCCTGGAGGTCGATAGATGGAGATGGTGGTGGTGGGAGGTCGAATATTGGACTCTGGAGGTCGGAAGGTTGGGCCGTCGGAGCCTGGAGGTCGATAGGTGAAGATGGTGGTGGTGGGAGGTCGGATGTTGGACTTTGAAGGTCGGAATGCTGGGACGTCTGAGCCTGGAGGTCCATAGGTGAAGATGGTGGTGGTGGGAGGTCGAATGATGGACGCTGGATGTCGGGATGCTGGGCCGTCGGAGCCTGGAGGTCGAAAGGTGGAGATGGTGGTGGTGGTGTGAGATGTTTGACTCTGGGGTCGGAATGCTGGGCGCCGGGTAGCCTGGAGGTCGATAGTGGAATGGTGGTGGTGGGAAGTCCGAATGTTGGACTCTGGAGATCGGAATGCTGGGCCGTCGGAGCCTGGAGGTCGATAGGTGTAGATGGTGGTGGTGGGAGGTCGAATGTTGGAATCTGGAGGTCGGAATGCTGGGCCGTCGGAGCCTGGAGGTCGATAGGTGGAGATGGTGGTGGTGGGAGGTCGCATGTTGGACTCTGGAGGTCGG